CGCATAAAAGATAACCGAAATCGCGTATAGGGTTTCAAGAACACGTCTTATAAATGCGCGACAAACTCGCGCTAGATCCGTTTTGGGATCGAAATCTCCGTATTCGCGGCGTCCGATCGAGATGCTTTTTCGTCGGTGTTTTTAACGCTCGCTGAATCACGGATTCTTTTATTACGCAATACTTTGCGGGACTTTCCTACCACGGAGTTCACTCACGAACCGAACCGGAACAAAAGACCCCGTTGCCATCCGGGCAACGATATTTATACCCTCGGTCGCTTTTCCCCTTCTCCGTGTTTGCTACGCACAATACTTTCAACGCTCGCTTCCAGGTTCTCGGATTGGCCGGTTCGCCGAACCAATCCGACGCTTTACCCAATGCTTGGGCTCGTCTCACTAAATAACGTTCCCAAAGCTATCAAAGTTCGACCATTTCAATGTCGAACTACTAAAATTATAATTAATTCTTTTTGTTCATCTTGACAATACTTTATATCGCTTTACCTGGCTGTTTTTACTTATTCGCGTGGATATCTCTTAAATCAAACTCATTTCCTGTACCAAATTAACTCTTGGACTTTTGATTACAGGTGTGATAACAACTTTGGCTCGGAGCCCTTCGCCGCTTGGTATATCTTTTAAATTAATTAAAATAATAATATTTTATGGATCACATTGTCCAAATAACGCTCTGTTTCCTTGTTCCAGATAATCACGTGACCGGTCAATTCATCCGATGGTCGGATGATACATCTTTTGCTAATCACATTCCAAAACAACTATGTACGCTGATTCTTACATACAAATAAAATAAAATTCATGGATCACAATCATTAATTAAGGTCGTATTTTTTTGTTACAGGTGATCACGTGACTTATGGATTGGCCCTATTTTCGGAACCCTCTCCTTTGATCCGTAATTGTAAAATAACTATGTATGCTTAACTTATCATTAAAATAAATGCTAACGCATGGATTATCTTTATTTTTTCTTATCGGCCGCCCGAATTGTCATCACTATTTTCTTACCATTATTATTATTAGTTCTTTCTCTTTTTAGTTATCCAGGTAAGGATTTTGGGGAACGCCATTCATTGAGTTTTTACATTTTGTTTTATTTGGTATATGCTCATTCATCCATTCATCCATCCATTCTCAAGTATACAATGTTATAAAGTGTATAAACTAATAACTAAGTATTTGATAACCTTATATTAAGAATATGTAAAGAAAATCTAGAATATACATATAAAAAAAAAAACCCTTACTAATTATGTCTTCATTGATGATTAAATAAAATTAAAAAATAAAATAAAAGATACAAAACATAAAGATGCGGAATCCCATATAACATGCTAGATAATAGTTCATATATATAAAAAAACAAATAAAATTAATACACACACTTGATAATGTAATACTGATGAGAAAAAAAACAATAACTCAATATAATGTTCTTAATTCATTCTTCCCCTCTTGGGCTTTCGTTCTTCTTCGTTTCTTCCTCCTCGGTTGGCAATGGCGGCGTGACCGGCTCGAACCTAGGGCTTTCCGGTTCGACCTCTTCTTCGGCTGCCACTTCAGGAACCGCCCAATCTCCGCTCCGGCGCCTCTCCTTTTCCACCATCCATTGGCGGACTATCTGCAATGCCTTCTCCGCTCTATCCGACAAAAGTTCAGCCGTCGATTGCGCCGTGGACGTCTGCGCCAATGCAGACGGACACAACTGGTGTCGAAAACTTCGCTGTTGTCGACTTCTCCTTGGCTAATGTTCTCCATGTCGTCTTTTAGTGAAATTTCATCGTCTTCTATGAATTTTACATCACGGGCTATATCGACTCTTCTCTCCTCGGATATTCACACTCGGTAGGCCTTGGATTCGTCTGAATATCCGAGGAATATTCCTCTTGTTGATCGATTCTCGAACTTCCCCTTATTTGAATTTCGATTCAAGGTATAAACTTTACACC